ACACACACTTACACACGCTTACACTATCACTTATACACGCTTACAAACATTAACAAACACACCTACACGCACTACACACATATACACACACTTACACACACTTACAACCACGTAAACACATTTACACACACTTTCACACACTTACACACACTTACACACATTTACACGCACACTTACACACAATTATACAAATTTACACTCACCTACACACACTTATACACATTTAAAGCCACTTAAAGACATTTACACACATTTACACACATTTAGACACACACTCACACACCATTACACACATTTACACATACTACCCACACTTACTCCTACGAACACTTACGCACACTTACGCAGACTTACGCAGACTTACGCACACTTACGCACACTTACAGACATTTACAAACATTTATACACACATATAGACACACTTATACACGCTTAGAAAAGTTTACAAACAAACGGGATACTAGCAACCCAGGTGATTGACTAGATGGGATACTCGCAGTCCAGGTGATTAACTAGATAGGATACTCGCAGTCATGGTGATTAACTAGATGGCATACTCGCAGTCCTGGTGATTAACTAATTGGCATACTCGCAGTCCAGGTGATTGAATAGATGGTATACTCGAAGTCCAGGTGATTAACTAATTGGCATACTCGCAGTCCAGGTGATTCACTAGATGGGATACTCSCAGTCCAGGTTATTCACTAGATGGCAWACTCGCAGTCCAGGTTATTMACTAGATGGCATACTCGAAGTCCAGGTGATTAACTAATTGGCATACTCGCAGTCCAGGTGATTAACTAGATGGTATACTTGCAATCCATGGATTCACTAGATAGTATACTCGCAGTCCAGGTTATTCACTAGATGGCATACTCGAAGTCCAGGTGATTAACTAATTGGCATACTCGCAGTCCAGGTGATTCACTAGATGGGATACTCGCWGTACAGGTTATTCACTAGATGGCATACTCGAAGTCCAGGTGATTAACTAATTGGCATACTCGCAGT